GTTTATCACTTTTTAGTGCAAAGAGAGAACACTACTCTCTGGCTGAACATAATCCATCAGGAAGACTCGACAAATTTGCAACTCATGATGAATATACGGTGCATTGATTAAATTATTTTCTCAATCAACTTTATATTAGTTAATGAGAAGTTAATGTCAGCTATTTATTTGGTATAAACATAACGTGTGTTGCATTCTCACCAATATTCCTACTTCCTCACTAGTTTAATTTTTTATTTTTATTATTATTATTATTATCTTTTTTTATATTTTTTTTTTCTAACGCATAATGCTTTCATTTTGAACAGATCACTTGTCTCTTTTAATGTCATATACTTTTTGGCATGTTTCTCATATAAGATAACATTAGCTTTGCATTTTAAACAAAATGATGTTGTTGACCTCAAAAATTTGTTGCCAACATATCCTGGACCCACCCGCACACACGTGAATGAAAATCCAACACGTTAAGACACGTGGACGGTCTAAAACAGAAAGATCAAGGGCTTGGGAGTAGCTCAACGGCGCGGGACGAGAGCATTTGGAATCCGACGGGATTGTTCGTGGATCGATTGTACAATAATTACCAATCGGTGTTTGTGAAGGTGTATGTAAATATGCGTAAATTCGTATTGTGTTACAAGATAATAAGAAAGAGAGAGTAAAATGTGATTTCTTGTATTGATTCTTGCATTCGCCTTTGTATGGGGTACATAGGGAAGTATTTATAATGTCACCAGTTAGATCGTAACCCTTGGTCCGGGGTACACATGGTCTCATCCGAACAATTTACATGTCAAATTGTAGGCATCACCCGCACCCAACCTGCTATACATTTATTGATTGGTAGAGTCGTCTTTACTAGTGATAAGACTTAACATTTACACTCATAACAAACGTCCTATCAATCATTCAAGTAATATCTTTGTGCAGAAGATCTCTTGAGAGAAGTGTCTATGGAAGGTGTTGCTTTGTGATCCGGAAGTAGCCACCTCGGCTACTGAGTTTCGGCCAACATGGCCTCCTCTTTTCACATAATGCTTCCACTTTAGGGCTTCGGCTCCTATTTCATGGTTCTTCTACATCATGGCCTCGGCTTCTTTTCATAGTGCTTTGGCATGAGAGCCTCGACCACTTTCACAGGGTTTCGGCATGAGGGCCTCGGTATATATACCATTTCGGCTGAAGTGCCACATGGTTCGACATGAGTGGGCTGTAGGCCCTAGTGGATTGGCCAAGTGTGTTAACATGTAACGGATGCAATTTTTTTAATCACGTTGCATATTGAACAAGATTAAAGAAGAAAAAGTTTTTGACAAAATATAATATAACCCAATTCATATAACCGTTCCAACAACGAGATCTGTTTGCAATATTAATGCAATTTCATGGATTGTTTCTAATTAACAGGTCCATTTGAGCCTCAGCACAACTAAGGGGCGCTATGAACTATAAAACCCCGAAATTTTATTGGATATGATGAATGCTATGCTATATATGCGAGTTTAAGAAATTTTTAAGTTTGAGTGCAAATAATAATTTCTAGGAATCATTGAAGTGGAGTTTGAGGTAATTTATTGATTTCTAGAAAATTTAGGGACTAATGTGAAATTTACAGAAAATGATAAAAATCATAGTTTGAAATTTTGAGAATATTGCAATGGTGGCTATAATGACATGAGTGGGTTTCAAGACTTTAAACTCAAGATCGAGCCTAAATGCAATAAATACAAAGTTAAGGAACTATTTTGTGGTTAATTTAATTACGGCTAAGTAGATTGATTCCATAATCAAAGACCGTGAAAGGTGAATTATATCAAGTCCTTGACAAAAGAAAATAGGATAACTCTATTTGCAAAGGGCCACATATTTTAGTTCTTTTATCATTATATAGAATAATTTTTGACTTGTCTAGATTATAACATAAAAATATGTTGGACTTGTTTACAACAATATACACTATATTGATTACATTTCTATCGTGTACACGTATATTTATACGTACACATAAGATATATTATTGACCTTAAGAATACCGTAACCTATCTGCCAACAAATTCCAGTCAGTTTACTGATCGCCTATATGTACTCTTATTCCTTACACAATGGACATCCACTAGAATGCTCAATCATTGTCAAGGATTTAACAAATATGACTACACGTAGCAAATGTGGTGAAGAACTAGTAACCTTGGTTCAAGTGGACATCCGACCTGGCTCCAACTCAAGCTACCTCGGGCGATGATCTGAGTTTGTACTTAAGGAAACATGAGGATCGATTTGTTTATTTTCAAAAGTTAGGGATTAACTTGTTACTTGAGACGATAATCCAATTATTCTATTTATTAGATTTTATATTCAAGATGCTTTCTTATGTGCACCACTTATATTTATTTTCTAATCAAATTCATTGAACATGTATAAAATTTCTTTATAGTATAATGGAGAGACTTGATTCCATGCCTTTATCTCTTAATTAAAAATTAACATGTTAGAGAAATAACGAGTTATTTGTTTATTTTTTGAGTTGAATGGTACCAACTTATTTGTAGTAAACTTGTCAAAAAGAATAAACTTAATCGTTGTATTCCTCTTTGGGTGAAGCATAACAACTTCAACAATGCATAGTGTGGTTTCAAACCTTTAAGTGGTAAAAAGTACATCCCAAAATTTTTAATAAATGTGTGTATTTTCTTTTTGTATTATTTGGAGTAAACTTGCCAAAAAGATGGAAGATTTTGGTTTTATATTTTTAAATTATTTGCCTTTTCTTTTTGTTATTTTGTTTCTCTTTTTATTTATTTTAATTAATTAAATATGAAAAAGACTATTATACCCTTATTAAAATTTGGTTAAATTAAGGTCTGACATTTAACTTTTGGTCAACTGACATATTCTTATTATTATTATTATTATTTATTTATTTATTTATTTTTGTAGAAATTGCTAGTGGTTCTATTGACGCATATTTATTAAAAAATTTGGAATGTAGGTGCTACGATTTAAAGGTTTTGAACCATGCTGCAATTTATTTTTATTTTTTTCAAAAGTTTGAACCTTTGCTAGAAATTTCCCTTTCTTTTACATGTCTACACGTTTAAGTCAATCACATGTTAGATTTTAATTATTCTTTATAGTTTTTATCTTGTTATTTGATAATTAAATTATTTTTAATAATGTTATGTCCATCTTCACAATTCCAATGAATGCAGATATATAAATTGATTATCGTTTGGGTTGAATAGAATATATATATATATATATATATATATATATATAAACAATAATGAATAAATCAACCAAAATGATCTAATTATGAGAAAATTAGGAAAATTAACTATTCATGAATTTATTCCTTTTATCATCACTCATCATGTGAACAAGGTTCATAAATTGGTTAATAACATGTTGGTTAAAATTAATGCATTGATTATATTTTGTTTAAATTTGTCGTCCAAACAAAATGAGTAGAATGGTGATTTATAAAAAAATGTACATGATAAAATGAAGAATGAGATTTTTGTTCAATGTAAGAATTGAACTCTTTTTCATTATAAATTCATCGTGCACGATACTTACGATTGAATGGTAACTACCACTCCAGATTTGACGAATATTATATGTTTAAAAAATCTATATCCGATCAAATTGCGCCTAGTCGAAGTCCCGTGCTTGTGCTCAAGCAGCTTACTTTTGATACATATAACTAATGCATTTTATCAAGTCATTTAGATTATGTCCAGTTCAAAAACTTAAGGGTGTGTTTGGTGCCCTTGAATTTATCATAAAATTTTAAGATTAAAATTAGTGTAGATAATACTAGGTGGTGGATGGTAGCTTTACGCTAGGTTATTGATTGGCTTTAGAAAGTCTAAAGATTGCAATCAGCCAATCACATTAATCCACCTTAAACATATTTAGAGAATCAACAAACTCTTATTTTAAAGAGTCTAACCTTGAAATTACGTGTCAATAAATTTTTTATTCTTTTTTTTCCCCCTTCAAATTAAGTGTTTGAAGACCCAACTCACTCTCAATGCTGCACTAATTTAATATTCTTATTATTTTAAATATTATTGCTATTTGACGTCTAAGAAAATATATATAAGTGAAAAATAGGGGTAAAATAATAAATAATTGTTGAAAAAAATAAAATAAAAAGAAAAAAATAAAAAATTTATTGTGTGTATATATATAAATATATATTAAAAAAAATTTACTCTTTAAATTTAAACATGCTATCTAAAACAAAGTCCTTGTTTCGTAGGGATTATAATCTAAATTAAAATCAACAATTAATTTTAACTACATATTTAAATCTTGATTGATTCTCATTATTTTCGAAATATATTTTTCTCCCTTATTTTCAACTACACATTTTTCAATAAAATAATATTGTACGCAAACTCAAAAATTTTCCTTATTTTTTAACCACACATTCTTTATCAAATTACTATTTCAAATGTATTTTTGTCCAAAAACCGGGGGAGGGGGGGGGCGCTAAAATAGGCGCTAATGAGATTTTCAATTTCTCAACTAAATATCTCATCAATTTTTATTAAAATATGATTTGGCAAAGAATCTCTTTGAAATAATACTCTGTAAGAGTATTAAATCGTGATGGTCAATATAAAAATTCTTCCTTAATATCGCTAAGAATTATGTTATTTCTACATAGACGTGTCAATGCCCGTGTACACCCCCTCACAAGAGAAGATTCCACTCCCAATAAAAAAAGAAATGTGGACCTCTTTATTGTGAGGGAAGTGTGTACGTATAGTAAAACTATGTTGTTAAATACTAATGTAGTAACGTAATCAATTAAATAATGTATTAACAAATTTCAAGTATGAAATAACACGCTAACGTAATCAATTAAATAATGTATTAACAAATTTCAAGTATGAAATAGCACGCTAATCGTATCAGCCAGTCAATACATCAAACGAATGACGTCCGCGTCGACAATTGGTCGCCGTTTTTTCTTGGCTGGACCCCATTTTTTCCAATCCAAACTTCTCTCTCCTCTGATTATTTTCCCTTGAAAAATTTAGTTGCCACTTCTAAGTTTGCAGTAATCATTTCATTAGGCTATAAAAGTTTGCAATGGGCTGGAGGGATATGATCTCTTTCTGTCCCACTCCGAATTTCCGGAATATGTTCCAGGTTTGTTTGCATCTATTCCTTTTTTAGTATTTTTCGTTTTATATGTTTATTATATTATTATCCTATCAGAATGTCTTTTTGTTCAGAAATAGTTTATTAAACTTTTTGTTTTTTGAGAAATTTGAATCTTTTAAAGCGCATTTCATGCTTACGGTAACTTGGATTATTCAATTATAAAGAACAATCCTTCTAAATTTTTGTAATTTTGTTGTACCAAATCTTGAAGTTGCTTGCCTTTTTATCAGGAAAGGAACAGAATCTGGTGGTTTGTAATATTGAGTCATGGGATCCATCTTAAAAGATCAAACACGAATAACCATACGGTGAATTGGTTTTTTCGCTTTTTGGGATTTATCCCTTGACGTCTAAACTTATGGGTGAATTGTAGGGCGGTCCTGTGATCATGGGGGCCCGAGGCGAAATTCATAAATTGGGCCCCCAAAATTAACGTAAATCAAAATTTAACGGTGTACTATACAACTAATTGCTAACTTAAAACTTAACGTAAAAGATATTTACAAAACATCTTAACTATGGAAGGATTCTTTTACGTTAGTTAGTGGGTTTTACCAAAAAAATAAAAAGGAAAAAAATGGAAAAAATATTTTGGGCCCCCTTGAAGAGCTAGGCCTGAGGCAGCGGCTTATTGAACCTATGCTCAGGTCCGGCTCTGGTGAATTGGGTTGGTGAGAAAATTGACTGCCACCAGATTAACACATGGTTTTCCCTTCGATGGTAGGATTTAAGGTAGTCAATGCAAGTGGATCTCTTTTCATTTTGACAGTTTAATGTTCTTATAATCTCAACCATATACCACAAGCAGCCCTGATAATGCACCCTGCATCAGATTGGAAATTTAATGAAGATATTTTTAAATTCGATTTATTTTGAAGCTCAAACTGATTTTAGGGAGGCTTTAGAACATTCCTTTTGAATATTCAGATGAAAGTTTTTCAAGGTGTATGAAATATTAATTGCTAGCATGTTCGGACACATGACCAATATGAAAAGTCTTTGGTTAAGCAGTTGTTAATTAGTAAGTGATTTTTGTGTCCATAAAGAGAGGGCAGCCAACTGTGTGAATTGTAGTAGTTTCTTTTGCTATCTGTGAACATGACGATTTGTTTCTACTTTTTTGTATCTTAAAGCTTTTAACTGCCAAATAGTTTTTGGAAGTATCATAGCAAGGGATTAGAATATAAAGTTGTGTGTCCTTTCTACAAATTAAGGGTGGGGTTCGTATCTAGTATTGATTAAGATTGAACAGAATAACTGAGAAGATTTTATCGTTTTTTTTCTTTGCTAAGGGGGTGTATTCAATTGAGACTTTTAGTAATTTTTTGAAATTTAAAAAGTTTAGGGGTATTCATTTGAGACTTTTAGAGATTCTCTAAAAGTCACGGTGTATTTAATTGAAACTTTTATAAATTTTTAAAAAATCTCTAAAAGTTACGGTATATTCAATTAAAATTTCTTAGAAATCTCTATAAGTTTTGGAATATTCAAATTTTAATGACTTTTAGATACTTTTATAAAAGTCCTTGAAGTACCAACTTTTAAGCAAAAAGTACTTATATAAAATCTAAAAATTTGTCTCTCATTAATCACGAAATTTTGGGAGACTTTCACAAAAAATAAAATATTTCTTTCCTTTAACCTTCCATGGACACATATGATTAAAATTTATATTTCTATTGTTTATATTCCATTTATTTTCCCCTCTCTTATTATTTATCTCTATTTTCTATGAAAAAATTAAAATGGATTCTTGTAGCTTTTTTTTTCGTTCATTTTTTTTTTTTGAAAAATATCTATTTTTTTTATTAAATTATAAAATTTTATATGGAAAATTTATAATTAAATTTAAATATATTGATTTTTATTTACTTTAAAAGTATACTATACTAATAATATTGAATCATTATATATATATATAGAAGAAGAAGGGGAAGGAAAAGGAGAATTGTGGAAATTAACATCTCATATGTGAAAATTTTACACTAGATCCACGTGAATTCTATTTCAAATGAAAGTTTTCAAAAGTCTATAAAAATTTTAAAATGAAAATCCATAAAAATTTACGAAAGACTTTCACTAATTACATACAAATCTATAAAAGATCTACGAAATTAACAAAAGTCATCATTTAAAAAAAGTCCATCAAAATTTTTGAAAGTCTCAACTGAATACACCCCCCTTAAATTATTAGTGGTGAAAACGTTAAAATAACTCTTGAAAGTGTTGTAGCACATCTCAACTATAACTAATAAGCCGTAAATGTTATAATAGTAGTTTCTATTTCTCAGGAAGGATTTCTGATTTCACTGCTATACTAGTTCTAATACTTAACGCATCATTTTAATCCAAGTTTTCTTCCTAATGGCATGTTTTAAATTAGTAGCTAGATTAGCATAAGATGTTATATTTTTTAAAAATATTAAAATAATAACGATACATTAGTTGGTTCACAACTGCATTAAACTCAAGAATTTCTGGCCATTTGTTTGCTTAATTCTCAATTGGCTTGTTCAGGAGGCAAATTTGTGATTTTTGATTTTTGAAACGGAAGATGCATATTTTTTCCCTTCCAAGCATCGCTGAGTCGAACTTCATTTCAATTTGCATCCTCAACTTGAATAATATTGGCATACTGCACGTTCTGTCGAACAGGGTAGACAAGATGAGGCCGAGCTTAGATGTGGACACACCATTAAGTCTCATGGGGCCGAGCTCGCAAGGAATCACAAGCACGACTGGCTTATACTGTTACTGCTTCTTGTAATAGAGATCATTCTCAATATAATCCACCCATTTTACCGTTTTGTTGGAAAGGACATGATGACAGATCTTAAATATCCCATGAAAGACAACACTGTGCCAATGTGGGCTGTTCCAGTGAGTCCCGATATCTGCAAAATCCTTTTCAATACTTTACTGAAATTAAATTTATTGTTCTTTCTCAAAATGTGAATTATGGTTAGATTTTAGCAATTATGTATTCGATGTCTTCTTATATTATTAGTAGGTATGAAGTATATAGCTAAAACTAATCGAAGTCTTCCAGCCTTTTACTCCTGTCGTTAGTGTTGATGATATGCTGTTTATCACAAAGTGGGAATGACACTATTCTCTTTTGGTCAGCTGTATGCAGTTTTGCTACCGATTGCCATTTTTCTTCTCTTCTACATTCGGAGAAAAGATGTCTATGATCTGCACCATGGTATACTAGGTAATAAAATTTCCATGCTGTCTCTGTAAATATTTAAATCCCTCTTGCTGGTACCTATATTTTAGTAAATTTAAAGGATTTTTGCGTTTTTAACTTTGCAAAACAAATGGTCAGTTTGGCTCATCACTTCTGCTCATAATCGAAATGCAGGACTCTTATTTGCTGTGCTAATTACTGCGATCCTCACAGATGCAATAAAAGATGCAGTTGGCCGACCTCGGCCCGACTTTTTCTGGCGTTGCTTTCCTGATGGGAAAGATGTATGTTATCTTTATCTATGAACGTAAAATCGGCCATAATGTAGTTAATTAACCAAGCTTCTTATCGGCGGTCATGTTTTTCTTTTCCCATTTGCTTCATAGGAGTACGATCGTTGGGGCAATGTGGTGTGCCACGGGAAAGAGAGTGATATAAAGGAAGGACACAAGAGTTTTCCTAGTGGTCATACTTCATGTTAGTACTTCTCGCAGTATGCCTGAACTTTCACTAATGCAAGATGCAAAAAATGTGTGAAAATTGTTCGTAATTGCAACCATTATCTTGCACTTTCCGAGCGACAAAACTATTCATATATTTACAAAGTATGAGTATGTACTAAGTAGAATGATGATTCTACATCTAATTGAATTGCTCCCCTATGTTGTTGCCCACCGCCAATGAGGCAACACGTGGATAAGAAATAAATTTAAAAATCAATTGTCAATGTGACACATTGGCGGGTGGGCAACATATCTCATGTCCCGTCTACTGTGGGCAGGAAATCAGTTCTGCTCCATCTGATCTTCAATGTTGTTGTGCATGTCATGAACTTTTCATGTATGATTCATCTAAAAAAATATTTTCTCCAAAAAAAGAAAAAGGGCAAAAAAGACTGAAGTGAATCCATCAACAATATGAGAATATAAACCTATTTCCGTTATTTTAGTTTTGTCACCAATGTTTGTGAACATTCTTCATCTAACAATGTTTAGGATGTTTTGCAGGGTCATTTGCAGGCCTTGGGTTTCTGTCACTGTACTTATCTGGAAAAATGAAAGCATTCGACCGCAGCGGGCATGTTGCAAAATTATGCATCGTTTTCTTGCCTATTCTTTCTGCATGTCTAGTTGGTGTTTCTCGTGTGGATGATTATTGGCATCATTGGCAAGACGTGTTTGCTGGTGGCGTTCTAGGTGTGTGATCTCCTCCTATTCTGTGCTGATGGTTAATAATTTTCCTGGCTAAAACTCGTGTTTTCATGTGAGTTGCATCTGAATAAACTTTCAGGTCTCGTGGTGGCTACATTTTGTTACCTGCAGTTTTTCCCACCTCCGTACCACACTGAAGGTAGGAGTATTTTCTGCGCCTTCTGCTCATAATCGAAATGCAGGACTCTTATTTGCTGTGCTAATTACTGCGATCCTCACAGATGCAATAAAAGATGCAGTTGGCCGACCTCGGCCCGACTTTTTCTGGCGTTGCTTTCCTGATGGGAAAGATGTATGTTATCTTTATCTATGAACGTAAAATCGGCCATAATGTAGTTAATTAACCAAGCTTCTTATCGGCGGTCATGTTTTTCTTTTCCCATTTGCTTCATAGGAGTACGATCGTTGGGGCAATGTGGTGTGCCACGGGAAAGAGAGTGATATAAAGGAAGGACACAAGAGTTTTCCTAGTGGTCATACTTCATGTTAGTAGTACTTCTCGCAGTATGCCAGATCTTTCACTTGTGCAAGATGCAAAAAATGTGTGAAAATTGTTCGTAATTGCAACCATTATCTTGCACTTTCCGAGCGACAAAACTATTCATATATTTACAAAGTATGAGTATGTACTAAGTAGAATGATGATTCTACATCTAATTGAATTGCTCCCCTATGTTGTTGCCCACCGCCAATGAGGCAACACGTGGATAAGAAATAAATTTAAAAATCAATTGTCAATGTGACACATTGGCGGGTGGGCAACATATCTCATGTCCCGTCTACTGTGGGCAGGAAATCAGTTCTGCTCCATCTAATCTTCAATGTTGTTGTGCATGTCATGAACTTTTCATGTATGATTCATCTAAAAAAATATTTTCTCCAAAAAAAGAAAAAGGGCAAAAAAGACTGAAGTGAATCCATCAACAATATGAGAATATAAACCTATTTCCGTTATTTTAGTTTTGTCACCAATGTTTGTGAACATTCTTCATCTAACAATGTTTAGGATGTTTTGCAGGGTCATTTGCAGGCCTTGGGTTTCTGTCACTGTACTTATCTGGAAAAATGAAAGCATTCGACCGCAGCGGGCATGTTGCAAAATTATGCATCGTTTTCTTGCCTATTCTTTCTGCATGTCTAGTTGGTGTTTCTCGTGTGGATGATTATTGGCATCATTGGCAAGACGTGTTTGCTGGTGGCGTTCTAGGTGTGTGATCTCCTCCTATTCTGTGCTGATGGTTAATAATTTTCCTGGCTAAAACTCGTGTTTTCATGTGAGTTGCATCTGAATAAACTTTCAGGTCTCGTGGTGGCTACATTTTGTTACCTGCAGTTTTTCCCACTTCCGTACCACACTGAAGGTAGGAGTATTTTCTGCGCTAATTTTCTTTTATACGTCGTTAATTTGCATATTCACATAAATGGAAATGCAGGCGTATGTGTCAAATTTCTTCACTTATTGACACTAAAAGAACCATTTTCCACAAGAAAAACCTGATCATTTATATTTCTGCATCGAAAGATATAACTTATCCTTAAAAACTAAGCTTACTTGGTTAAGTGTTGATGGCAGGATGGGGTCCTTATGCATATTTCCGAGCGCTGGAGCAAATCAACAATTCCAACTCGCAACCTGTAAATGTTGTTGGCATGGCAGTGCAGGTAGTGAATCAACCAAACAGCAATGTAGATGATCAGATTTTGAGCTCAACATATGATGCCATGGAGTCTGGAAAAACGTAGATAAGAAATAGTTTTATCATTTTTGTTGAATTCTCTGTATATTAAAGATAATCTTTCTCATAAGATGTACTTTAGAATAATAACCACTCTAAATCAATAAAAATCTCAACCTGGACTTGGGCCAGTGTGAAAAGTTAACCACCACTCTGTACTAGCCAATATATTTCAACTGGTATGAATAAATCATAAATGGCAAAAGGGGTTTGATGAAATTAGGAAAAACTGAAGTTAGCGATGCTAAAATTTTGATATATACGACAAGGTAAGATTCCATGCACGTCACCAGTTAAACAATGCAACTAAGGTCACCATCATATCTTCTCTGAGAGTTTTTCCTTTTTGAACGCTTTGCAAAAGCACGACCACATCCTCAAAAAGATCTTCAATATGTTGACATGATTTCAACGATCATCATAATCATAAATGATTAGACCGTATTGTTTACAGATATTCAATCAACGGTTAGCCATGACTTTAAACATATAAGTAAAAAAGATCTGTATGCGAGACGCAACTGATGATAATGCTTCAACAAACCATGCTCTAAAAAAAGTCATCTACATTGCATCCATGTGAACTTATTGGCGCCTTCTCCAGCATTGATCTGTGCAATTGCCATGACCATGTAGCCAAGAATATCACAAGTCCAATCCCAACAGATTCCAGAAAATCACCAACCACTTGGGCATGGAATTAGGAAACAATCCTGAAACACGATTAGATAAGGCGAAGAAGAATACATTTAATAATTCCTATGAAAAACGCAAGATGACACACCATGTCCAAGCTTCATACAAATGAGGAGTTCCACAATGCAGATAGTCAGCGAGAGTCAACAAAAAGCTCCCACCTTTTTCACTGGTTTTCTGAAAATTGAAAGCAGTAATCAAGCAAAAACGCGAGAAAATGAGAAGATCGTCTCATGGAAATATCAATATCTTGAATAACATATGGAGTATCAAAACTTGAAAAATACCTGTCTTCGAAAGAATTGTATTCGCAAATGATTGGTATTGCAATAAGCCATCTCAAAATTAAACCATATATTATGATGGGATTTCAAGGGGTACTTTTAAAAATAACCTAGTCAAATCATCAAAATTTCATATTGACTTTTCAAAAGCTGTTAAACAGTCGGTTGTTAAGCAGTCAGCTGTTAAGACTATTTAACAGTCGGCTGTTAAAAGCCGACCGTTTTTAGACTGTTTCAACTGCTTTGATGTCAATTTTTTTGATAATTTTTATTGCCACTAATTTTTTCTTACAATTAATAATTTTTATTATTAAATAAACAATTTTTTGAATATTTCTTTTTGTAATTAATTAAAAATTTTGTTTCGTCATGCATATATGACTATAATCTTGATTTGTTACTTTGGTGATTTTGAATTAAATGAAAATGATCGATGAGTATAAAGATTAGGGTTAGGCAAATCTCCCGAACTGAACCGAACTCGACAGTTCTTGTCAAATTAAATACCCAAACGGGTATCTGAATTGAAAATCGATGGGTATGGTTCGGTTCTCGGTTCTAAACCAAGAACCGAAAAATCGAATAAGAACCGAATTTTTCTAATTTTTTTTATATTGAGTAAATCAAATTATTTTAATTTTAATTTTTTCTAAAAAAATTAACAAATTAACAATTTCTAAATCCAAATTTTTGGCCCAATAATTTGTTTCATTTCTAATTTTTTAATTTTTGGCCCCATTACCCATTTTATTGTTTCATTTTTTAGCCCAACAAGATCCAATCTACTAAATAACCCTAAACACCTACACTAAAGTGCATAACGTTGTCTCGACTCTTGCACTCACTCCTGCGCCTCGCTGACATTCCAAAACTTATACAATCGTCGACCGATGTTGTGACCTCCGATCGAAACTGTGACCTCCGTCGATCGAATCTTTGACCGTAGCGATCATTTGAACAAGATAGTATAGTAGTCTATGGCATTCCAAAATCATTGAACGTATTATTAGTTGTATTTATATAATGTTGTTATAAATGTTAAAAAATTTAATTATAGTACAGAACGGAACCGAACCGAACCGAACCCGAACGGTTTCATAATTATATTTGGACCCGACGGTTCCATTTACTAGATACCCGAAAATTTTGGTTCGGTTCGGTTCTCTTTAAAACCGAACCGACCCACGCCCACTCCTAATAAAGATGAACGAGTGATATACATGATGGTATTTTATTACGTGTTGACACACATGATCGACCCACCCATGGCGAACCATATGGCATGGTTGCCGAAGCCCCTAGGAATGGTAAACACCCAACATCCAAAAGCAAAAACTGTGAGTAGCCCAAATGCTGGAAGGCTGAAGTGCAATGATCGAGGTGGTCCATGCCGAAGCCGAACTCCAAAACATTTTTGACATCACTCTACCCAAGAGATTCGGTCTTATACAAGAATCCTCCTTCAATAATTACTGAGACACCCATCATAGAGTGCAAGTGTTTTGTTTTGTCAAACATAGCAGCGGGTTTGCTAATTAATATTTTACAATGTACAATGTCTACATAAAATATTTTAAAATATTTTACAAAGAAATCAAATGTACAATGTGTACATAAATATTTTACAATATTTAGAATTATTTCTAGGGCTAAAAAACAAAACTGTGAAACCGCAAAATCGAACCGAAATCGTTTTTTTAAATCATTGGTTTGGTTCCACGTGAATTCGTCAACGTTTTGGTTTTGAACTGAACCAAACCGTTTCGAAGTGGTTTGGTTTAAGTTTCAAATTTTGCAAACCGTTTCAAACCGCCAAACCGTTTACCAAAAAAATCTGAAAATAAATTAGTCTAAATTTTATTTAACCCAATTAAAATTTAACACATTTCAATTAAAAAGATACATTTATATTATACGTGATTCAATTAAACTCAAATCGACAATTATACATCTCAATTAATTAATTAATCATATACAAATATTCATGAGTCGGCCTAACTGTGAATGTAAAACCCTCAAATTAGGTATAAAGTGTTGAACAACTGATGCTAAACCAAATTTATCAATTCTCCATTACTATTGAGCAGATAATAAAATTCTAAATTTTAATTCAAACGTGCACATTTCATTTCCTTCTAATCATTTTCTCAAATTTTGCTCAAATTCAACTATTCAAGTCAGAATACCAAAATTCTTTTATTTTTTGGTAATTATTTTTACATTTTAATTGGTAGTTATATTTTTTTGTTCTGATAATTTTCAATTTGTCGGTCTCCCTTATAGTAATTCACCAATATTTAGATTTAGTAGACACTTTGAATGATTCACAAAAAGTCATAGTATCTAGATACTATTGTATTTGAATATTTTTAATCATTTTCATTTATTAATTATTTTATATCATTTAACTATAATCAATGAATTTATGAAATACATTTTTATATTTATGAAGAAAATGAATCATGTATTACACTTGCAGATGGATACTATTAGTATTGACTAAGAGTTTAAAATATTTATATCATATTGTTACATTATAATGATTATAAGAGCTGAACAACGAAACCGTCAAATCGTAAAATCGAATCGAAACCGCTTTTTTGAAACCATTGGTTTGGTTCCACGTGGGTCCATCAACGCTTTGGTTTTGAACCGAACCAAACCGCTTCGAAGTGGTTTGGTTTAGGTTTCAAACTTTGCAAAACGTTTCAAACATCCAAACCGTTCACCAAAAAAGTCTAAAAATAAATTAGTCTAAATTTTATTGAACCCAATTGAAAACTTAACACATTTCAATTAAAAAGATACATTTGTATTAGACAAGATTCAATTAAACTCAAATCGACAATTATACATCAATTAAACACAACGAAAAATGGAGCGAATCGAATTATAA